CCTCTCCCAACCCCAGACCTGCCCTTTCCCAGGTTTGGTCCCCCGCTCTAGGGCTGGTTTCCTCCTGCTGGACTTGAAAACTGCTCCTAAGCAGGAGGCCCCTGGGAAGGGCTTGCCACGGGACTTGCCACGGACAGGGAGGGAGGCTGGATCAAGGGAGACGGAGGTGCAGTCAAGGACAGAAATTCAGCCAGCATCTTCTGGAGGGCTGGCAGGAGCAGGGGGCAGAGGACACCCAGAACGGAGGAGGAGGTGGCACCCGGGCTGGGAAGGAACCACTTTAACAAGCCAAAGGGAACAGGAGGCGAAAGAGGCAAGCAGTGGTCAGGTATCGGGGAGCTCTGTTCCAGGGTTCCTCTGCCCCGCAGGTGGGGCCTGCCTGGTCAGGCTGCCCTTACCTGGGCCGGCAGTTCCCCGGCTCTGTCCTCAGCAGCCCAACACTTGCAGGGATCAGGATGACCCTGTTTCTTTTTCAAAGTGCTTTCACCGTTGTGACTCACACATGGATTCACCAGGGAGGTATCAAGCTTCCAACCTATTCCATTCCCCTCCCTCCTGGGTCTGCGGGAGCTGCTGGGGAAAGGAGGGGGCGGGTTGCCTTTGGGCCTGAGACCCCTTCGGGAGGCCAGGAGCTGGCACTGCCAACTTTCAAGGCCTGACAGGGTGGGTGAGTGACCCACAGCCAGGCCAGCTGCTGTGGTGGGCAGGAGAAGGATGGGCTGCATGACTAAGAGGAAGCCTTTGCCACTTATCCTCCTGCCCTGCTGGGGCTTTTAAATCACACCCTCTTTCCCTGTAGTTGCACCCAGCCACCGCCTCTCAAAGCAGACCCTCCATCCGCATTTCCCTCTTTCTGAGTAGTTGCAGTCCACTTGGCTGGAGGTTTCCTCCTCAGCACTGAAGTCCAGCTCCCCTGGAAGACAGTTGCTGTTTGCCCTGGCCTCTGAGCCACCTCTGCCAGGTGCAGGCTGCCATTTCTGGGAGGGGTGTGGACCCCCAACCCCGGGCACTAGTCCAGAGGAAGTTTGGGGCCGAGGTGCTGGTGTTGGGTGTCAGGCTGCACCGGAGGAGGGGCATCGAGTCTGAGGGGGTCCAGGTGCCTGGAGGGGCCAGGTTCATATCCCGGGTTCCCCACCCTCCGTTGTCTCCATCCCTTATACACTGTGGGTCTCCCTTTACTTTCCCAACTCCACTCTGCACTGGTGTGGGGAGGGAGCATTTGATATTCATAATCTGGTTCAGAGAAGGTCCCGAAGCCCTGAGTCACTGTATGGTTTCCATGGAAACAGACTTGTTCGGTGGACTCGGTGTAGCGCGGCACTGATGGTGGGGGAGAAGGGAAACATATAGTAAAATCAGGCTCCACAAGTGTGGCAGGAGCTGGACCAACTCCCCTTCCTGGGGAAGATGGGGGTGGCAAGGCTCTGGCTCCCTGGGGGGAGGGCTGCCCCTCTCCCCCGTTGGTCTCTGTGTTGGAGCCAACCAGCTGGCAGGCTGCTGTCCCTCCCTGCACCTTCTGGCTAGGTGCCAGGGCTTGAAGCTTCCCCTCAATGCCTCAGTTTCCTTCTCTGTAAAACAGGGACAGTGAGAGTATCTATCTCACAGGGCTGTGAAGGTCAAATGTGTTAATATGCGGAATACACGTAGAACAACACCATAGTAAGAGCGCAGTGTCACGGTTACTCATTAAGTCAGGGGACTGGTTCACCTGGATCCCTCTCCCTGTCCCAGCAGGTGGTCCTGGCATCTGCGTGGGTTGGCCCTGAGCAGTACCTCTCCGTCCCCTGCTGGGCATCGACATCCATTTCTTCCCACAGAGACTTTATTTTGGATCGTGCTGGGCTGGCACCGAGCTAGGCAGTCCTGGCTCTTGTTCAGACCTGGTGAGTCCAGATGCTTGGGTGTTTTCCACTTGAGTCCCCTGGGGGAGGGCTGGTCACAGAGCGCCTTAGGGTTGGGGCAGAGGAAAAAGGACAAATGAGATCCAGGCAGAGACAGGGCCCTCCTGACAGAGGGATGAGATTGGGTGGGGAGGCCACGTGTCCTGACCCTGGCAAGGCTGGTCCACCTGGCCGGGGGCGCGTCTCCCTCTTGAGGATCAGCCAGCGGGGGCTTCAGGCTTCCTGCTGTGGTCCCGGCTCGGAGCCTCTCTGCCTTACTTGCTGCCAGTGTGTCCTACAATCTGGACCGGCTGGGGCAGGGAGAAGCCTTACCCCGGCAGTGCCTATCCCCAGCATCTCGGGGCATGGCCTGAGGAGACCTGGGGTGACCGTGAAGGCCAGTGTCCCTTCCCCGCTGTCCTGTGGCCCCAGCTTGGAGCTCCCTAAAGCCCCCCTCCATCATGCCAGATGTCAGAGCAGTACGCACCCTGCTCACCCCTGCCCCTTCCTTCTATTTTATCGATGGAAAAACTGAGATTCCTGGGCTCTGCTTGTTTGGCCAGACCCTAAGGTGGCTGTGGCTTCTCCAGCATCCGCATCAGCCTTGGGGATACCCTCCTCTTCCTGGGCTCTCCAGGCAGCTCCGGCAGCTGCCCAGCAACCCCGCCCCCCCACCGCCGGCTCTGCTTCCTGCCAAGGTTCTTCCCCCCAGGTCTCTCTGGACCTCTTTGTTGTCCTCATTGGTGTTCACAACACCTTCCAATTTAATATCCTCTGCAAATTTCATTAACGGACTGTTTACTCCCTCTCTCAGGATCATTAATGAAGATGTTAGATAGGATGTGACCCAGCGCCAGCTTGACGGCCCTGCCCCACACCCAGCTCTGCCTCCTAGCCCCTTCCCCGGGGACCCTTGGGACCTGGCCCTTCCTGCTCTTGGGTCCCCTGACAAATGCTTAAGGCCTAGTCTGTTTGAATTAACTTTGTGAGATTACTCGGGGCGCTGTATCAAAAGCTTTGCTAAAAATCAAGATATATTACCTTGCCTGCATTTCCTTCATCTACCAGTCTTGTAATTCTATCAAGAAAGCTATCAAGTTTGTCAGGCATGATTTGTTCTTTATAAATCCCCCCCGGTGCCTAGTGGGGCACAGGGTTCCCGAGTTTTCTAAATGTTTAGAGATTCCCCTTCGTGCTTGCGCCTTGATTAGAGCCAGAAGACTATGGGCTGGGAAAGATCTGGAAAGCTGTCTGCTTCACCGGGATGGGGAGGAAGCAGCCCATGGCCTCTCTGGTCTCTGCGGTGACAGTGAGTGGTTTAGGACCTCTCCGCCCACTGACACCCCTGCAGTGTGCTGGGGACCCCAAGCTAGGTGCTGGGCAGAGATGGGTGGAGGGGTCCCTGGTGCTGTCCTTCAAGGGTTCTGCAGGGCAGAGGAAATGACGGAGCCTGACGTCTCTGACATTCTGGAGGTCCCACTAATTGAGTGATGGCTGCAGACCAGTCACTTTGCTGGGAGCTTTCTGTGCTTGATCTCGGTTGAGTCTGGGGAGTGGGCATGGCCTCCCCTGCCCTCTGGCACTCAGAGGGCAAAGCTGCCCAGGACCGCAGGGCTGGCTTTCACCTTCTGCAGCACAGTGTTGCAGGAGGTCCGAGTGGGGAAGGAAGGCAAGGCCTGGAGGCAGGGGTAAAGTGTGGGGAGGCGAGCACACACCACGCACACCGCCTCGTTCTGTTCTCCGCCTTGCCCTGCCTGTGCCGTGGGAGCAGCTCCTTCACCTTCTGAGCCTCACCTGGGAAGTAGACGCAGCTGCAGTCCATAGCCCTGGACTCGCAGAGGGTCCACTGTGGTGATGCATGGCAGGTGTCCCCCATGGGGCTGGGGCTGGAGAGCAGCTGCCAGTTGGCTTATCACGGAAGCCCCTTTGCTGTCTGCTGAGAGCCATTCATCCCTTTGCCCATGTGCCTCATGGGGGACTCTTCCTAATGCTTGTTACCCAGGGGACTGAGGCGGTGGCAGCCTGGCGCAGGCATGTCCTGTTCCAGATTACTTCTAGCCAGGTGCTCATGGAGACCTTCTCGGTGGCCTCCTGGTGGCATGGGGTTGGGGCATTCCTGGGCTCCTCGGCCATAAAGCCCCTCAAGCCTCCCTGTACTTACCTAGCCCAGATCCGAGGCCCTGATGGGGAGCTGAGCGGGTCCGGGCTCCTGCTTCTGGGGGCCCACTGGCCCCGTGTTCACAGCTGTTCACGGTAATCTTTGTTCTTGTCATTCAGCCGGGAAGGGTGGTCTTCGGGCAAGTGGTGGGATGGCACAGACCCGGGAGGGCCTCAGGTGACGTCTTAGGGACTCGATCCTGCACATGGTGGGTAGGTATTGGATGAGCCACTGTCTGGGTGGGGGAGGTGGCTGTGGCCAGGATGGGCATTAGTGTGTCTGGGAGCCTGCTGGCCACCTCGGTCCTGGCACCCCTGGCCCGTCTGTCTGGTGTCCCAGTTCTGGGTGATGTTCTTGCTCTTGTGACGTGGGGTTTAAAGCTCTATGCTTAGGGGCAGCTGAGTCTAAATCCTAAAGTGCTCGGACGAGTGTCCCCTACCGGCCCAAGCCTCACGGGGAAGGTGGCACTGGCAGGAGGCAAGTAGCCTCAGCTCCAGCCAGGTCCGTGGTCATCTCTGGGTGTCTGCACCTGTGGCCACTTCCGCCCGTAAGACTCAGGACCCTTGCCGGAGATTCAACTCAGTGGTTCTGCCGCCTGCCTCGCAAGTGCAAGGTCCCGAATTTGATTCCAGGTACCAGAAAAAAAAAAAAGACTCAGGGTCCCATCCCACCCCACATCCTCACAGGGCCGGCCCCTGTTGATATTTTCTTCCCATCCCTGAAGCTGGGATCCAGGGGTGGGGCCTCGGTACTATTCCCACTCGGCTGTGGCTTCTGGTGGGGGGGGGGGGGGGGGGACAGGAAACCGGGGCCTTTCCGCCTAGCGTCGGGCAGAAGAGTCCTGCCTGTTTCAGCCCAGCCTGAGACAGGGAACCAGCCTTCTGACTCATCTCTCCCCGGGAGCCAGGCACACTGGGGCCTTGTGCGGGGGCCGGGGGGGGGGTGACTGACTCTGGGCCCAAGGCAAGACCACATGGCATCTTTCTTTCCCCAGTCAAGCCAAGTCTCTGTAGGCAGGGCAGTAAGGGGCCCCAGCCACCTGGACTCCCCTGGAGGGGGCTATGGCACATTTTTTAACTCTAACATTTCAGGCCAGATGCACTTGTGGCGTGCCCAGCCCTGTGTTGAACTGCTGGCATCACCAGGTGCCTGTCTCATGGCCCAAGCACCTGGGAGACCTGTGCTGTGTCCTCCATTTCATCCATGATGACCACAGGCCTGCAGAGGTGAAGCCTTCGCTCGGGCCTCCTGGCTGTGATGCACAAGCAGAAAGGGTCCCACCCAGGCCCTGCCTACCTGCCTGCCAGGCTCCTCCTCCAGTGCCTTTGGGTGACTTCTCCAGGAGGCTTGAGACACCCAGGTGTCCCCAAGGCCATTGCCCGTGGACACTGGAGTGGCCGAGATGCAGAGGGGCAGCTCTGCTGAGTGTGCAGATGTAGAGGACCAGTGACTCAGTGTGGTCGTCATGGGAATCATGGCAGTAAGGCTGTGATCCTACTGTGTTGCCCAGAGGAGGTGCTGTGGGGCCCAAGGACTCAAAATTGTACACAACCACCATGTTTGTGTTGGTGCCGGTTCCGTAGACTCCACGGTTCGAGTGGAGGTGGCGTGACCCCAGAGAGAAGCCCTGGGGCCCTCACTGGAGACCCTGTCAGGTTATGCTCCCATACTGCCCACACTGAAGGATGCCCTAGGTCCCAGGCCTCTGCAGCTTGCCTGTGGTTTTATTAGGTGTGAGAACTTCAGGTCATGGCTCATGGTAGCATGTGGCTCTGGAGACCTCTTGGAAGAAATCGGGTGCAAAGTATTTAGAGTAGCTGGAGGTCTCTTGAGTCGATAAGCTCTAGTCCTTATCTCATGGATCCCATGAAACATGTAAATACTGCTCCTTTCCCATTGACTGCCAGGAAGCTCTGACCCCTACGTGTAGCCCACAGGCCACTTGGCTCTTACGCTGACCTTGTTCCTGCTTCTTTCGGACTTTCATACTCTTCTTTTCTGCTTGCCTCATTTTCATCGCCTAATTTTCCCAGGGAAGAAAAAACCTTGCTGTTTTATGTTTTTGAGCCTTAACTAAACAAACATCTATGGTGGCTCAGTGTTGGCTCCTGCAGATCCGGGATTAAGCATTTCCTCCCCCAGCCTCTATCCCAGCCAACTCCCCCTTCCCTGTCCAGTTCCCTGCCCTTTGCTCTGGTTCCTGGCACCCCAGAGCTTTGGGGCCCCTCCATCCCGGCTCTGAGTCTGCTCAGAGAGACAACGTTCAGTTCCCTTTTTCTCCACTTTCCTTCCCCATCCCCCTTGGCCTTTATAAGAGTCCTGGGGAGGAGAGAGGGAAGGGAGGCATGTCCCCAAGTTCCGAGGGAGCTGTTCTCCATAACCCCAGCTCCTGCCCTGTCCCAACGGTGTCCAGCCAACTGCTGTCCATCACGGCCACCCAATCAGGGAGAGCCCAGCTCTAGGGAAGCAGCGGGGCACCTTGTAAATAGGAGAGGGAACAGCTGGTCAGCAGTGCCCTGGGTTTAGGACAGGATGGGCCCCACCCTGTCACAGCTACCTTTCCAGCTCTTGTGTGAAGTGGCTTCAATTCATCTGAGGATTATGACTCAAAGCTCCCCATGAACTGTCTCTCGGCTCTACCTTGCACGTCACACAGTTTCTGGTTCACGTCCCCAGTGTGTTTCTGCAGGTATATAAATATTTGTGTGTGCTCCTTATAAAACCAGAGATGGTGGTAGGTATCACACCTCGTTCTCTGGCCCTAGCTGTTTTGACTCTCTACATGGGATGCTTGTTCCTCGTTAGTACAAGCGGATCCCTGGAGCCCTCTCTGAGCAGTGAAGGGGTCAGGCCTCTGGGGCGGGGGCCTCCTCAGCTTCAGGAGGTCCCGGGAAACATATAAGTTGTGTGTGTAACATTGTGGGTACAAATGGCATTTTCTGGGACAAGGACTTGTGTTTCCCAAGGGGCCTGTGGCCCAGACAGAGTACAGAGCTGCCCCTGGGCCGAGCTGGATTCCCACCAAGCAGGGAGGGAGAACAGAGCCTGTGGGCCTCAGCCCGTGGGGCAGCCACAGATGATGCCGGAGCTGGGGGACAGTCAAAGACACCCCACTCTAGTCCCTTCTGGAAGATGCCTGGACATGCGCACTGCCAAGGGGGGCCCCGTCGGCTGCGAGGGTGGCCCAAGTGTGGAGTGGGGGTCTTCGTGAGATGGAGAAGCCCGGTCGGTCGTCAGAGCTGGGGCCCTCTGGTCTCTGGATCGATGGTCAGAGCCAAGGCGCAGAGGCCAGGGAGAGCCCTTGGCCACTCAGCCAGGGAAGGGTGGAGGCCATGGCTCCCCTGCGGGGACAGAAACTTCAGTGTTCTTCCCCTCCCGAGGAAAGAGGCCTCGGATGAGGCGAGGCTGCCTGTGGCTGCTGGCTCTGGAGTGATTGAGGAGGGGGGTGCGCAGCCGGGACGGGTGCTGTCAGCACACCTCGCTGCTTCCTGCGGCCTTCATCTCCCGCTGGCCACTGCTTCTGCTTAGAACCTGCCAGGCAAACGCCGGTCCAGGAGGCTGCACTACAGCCTCTGGCCACTAGAGGGCAGCAGGAAAGCCACTGCGGTGCCTAAGGAGAGAGGCGGGGCAGAAGGGGGTGGGAGAAGTCTGTGTGTGTCCCTGTCAGAGTGAGACCCCGTGGGCTGCAGGGTGATGTGTAATGAGGCACTTTCCCTGGAGAGAAGAGCAAAGCATTAATGATGATACTATTAACTGCTTTATAGGGTGCTTGCCTTGTGCTGGGTGCTGTCAGAACTAATTAGTCCTCCCAACAGCCTTGTTATAATTACTCCCACTTTGCAGGTGAGAAAACAGAGGCCCAGAAAGATTAAGACATCCAGACAAGCTCCCACAGCCAGTAAGTGGGCGAGCTGGGAGAGCCTGCACCTTAACTAAATGTCTGGAATTGTCTGAATCCTTTAAGAACTCTTCCAATTCTTATAATCACTGCTGTGATTGTACCCATTATGGATGGGGAAACTGAGGCTCAGGGGCAGCAGGTGAATCACCCAGGTGTGCATCCCTGCTGAGTGACAGATCCAGGCTGACATGGCTCACAGCTTGAGGCCTTAGCCCTGAACTTGAGCTTTTCCGAATCAAGTTCTGCTCCTCTCCCACCAGGGGCGCCCATTGGAAGCTGGCTGGCGCTGAGGTGGGAGCTTTCTCCTGGGCGTGGAGTTAGTTCACCATCTCCCCTGTCTTCCAACACAAAGGACGGATCCTGGGCTCCCGTGTTGGAGGCACGATGCCCTAGAGGTGGAGGGAGGCCATTCCTGAGTCACTGGAAGCCCAGAAGGGGGCCTGGGCTCCACCTTCTAACTTGGAGCCCAGGGGCATTGGGGAGGCTTTTGCAGTGGCCAGCGCTCCCTTGGGAACAGCAGGACCTGGCCCTGGGGCTCGGGTTTCCAGGGCAGATGCCTCCAGCATGCCAAGGACACTTGGCTAGCCCTGGACCTGCCTCTGCCAGGTTGGCAGGGGAGCAAGGCACTTCCAGGAGGGCCGGATCCCCCCATCTTCCTGTTCCCATGCCCTGGCTCTGGCCTCCCTGGGAGGTGCGGGTGGCCTTTGTCTGGGCTTCAGACACTGGCTCCCCAGTGCCCAGGCTGTGCCTTGTGAACCCCGCCCCCTGTCTTAGGGACAGATGGCACTGAGCAGAACAGCAGCTCCTGCTCCTGGCCTTACGCTTCTCTGGTGGGGGTGCAGAGAGAGTTAGGGCAACATGGCAGATGCTCCTCTTTGGAGAACCTCCCGGGTGCATTTTGTCTTGGGATCCCAGATTTCAGGGGATGTTGTCTCAGGGCTGAAATACCGGTGAGCCAGGGAGTAGATCCAGGAAGAAGATTTGTGTGTGGACTTCACAGCACATAGCCTGGCCTAGGGTCCTGGCTGTGCCCCTTTGGGGTGTGAGCTTGGGGAAGTCACCTCACCACCATGAGCCTTAGCTCCCCTCTCTGTACAATGGGCAGTGACTGTCGACCTCACAGGGTTGGCACGAGGGTGGGATGAGTGCCCACAGGAGGAGTCCATGCCTGGGGGCATGCTTGGGAGTGCCCATGAGGACTGGCCTTCCCTGGCACGATGTTACCCATAAACCCCGGGGCAGGGCTTGCCCCCCAGGAGAGCTGAGAGGTGTCTGGGACTGCATGCAGCCAGATGCGATGGTATTGCAACTCAAGGGCGGACTCCTCAGTACTTAAAACTGTCACCCGCACTACTGTTGTTGGCATTCCCTGCCCAGTTTCTTCTTGAATGCCGTCAGTTCCCTTTTGTCTTGGGCACTCGGGCAGAGGAGCGGCCTGTACTTGGCAGGGGAGCCAGGCACCCAGCAGAGAGGGTTTCGCACTCCAGGATGGGGGCTGCATCCCCTGCAGGCAGAAGGTGAAGTCAGGTGCAATGGGGTGTGGTGGAGGCTGTGGCTCTTCTCTGATCACTGGGAATCTGGACTGTGCTCTTTTCTCTATTTACTGCCACTTGGTGACCTGGTATGGATTTGTATCTATAGCGAGTCAAGTTTCATGTTGAAAACTGGACTCCCAGGCCTGGAGCTGCAGTGTGCCCTCTGCTATCTCAGCCCAGGCTCGGTTCCCCTCCCGAAGGCCAGCTCCATTTCCTCCCTTGGGGCTGATGGTGAGGGGCCTAAGCCCTGGCTAGAGTCTGACCCGGAGGGACTGCGCTTTCTGCTATTTCTTATCTGCTTCTGCATATTGCCTTAGTCTTTGAGCCTTCACTGCTCTCTCTATACCATGGGAGTGAGGAGCGGCCTCTCCTGTGGGTTTGTAGGGCTACCATGGTGCCAGGACTTGCGGGAGCCAGGGCAGGGGGCTGTGCAGGTTTGGAAAATGAAGATCCACTGGCCTGACCCCAGAGAAGCCACAGCAAATAGCAGAATGTGTGACAAATAGCACAGGTATTTCACCCCATCAGTCGTGAACGAATGAATGAACGGACCAGACAGCGAAGGGAAGGGATGCACTTCAAGCCTGACCCCTTCTGATACTCTTATGAAGGTCAGGAACCGTGCTGGGTCCTTTCAACAAATGCTGGAGGAACAGAAAGTTCGAGAAAGTGGGATCTCCTGGGGGTGGGTCAGAGAGCGTGGGCTCTGGGGAAACTTCTGTTTGGGGTTATAGTGGCTGATGAGCTCAGGCAGGCCCCCTCACCCCTTCACTGGGCTCTGTGCAGAGTTCTTGAGGGGGAAGAAATCAGCTCACGTGAGTAAAAGATGTGGTACTTTGGCAGTGCGTGGTAGAGGATGACCGAATCATCGCTCCCATCTTGGCGTTGTAACGCAGACTTGGTGCAGCTCATTAATAAGGTCCACTTCTGCTTTGCGTTTCAGGTAGCTGCTCTGCTCTCATCGGTGTGGTTGAGGAGGAAGAATCCCTCTTCCTGGCTGGCCCTCTGGAGCTGTGCTTTTGACCTGGAGGCTGGGGGGTGAGCCCTGTGCCTGATCTCCACCCCCATCACTGAACAAGTTGGATTTTGTCTCACTGATTTCAAATGCAGAACCAATGGGGGCCGCGCTGACTTTCAGGAGTCTGGGCACTCAGGCTGGCCGGCCTCTGCCCATGGGCCTTGTGCCAGCAGAGGGGCACAGGCTCATTGGGAGGGTAAGGGGGAGGTAAGTGAAGGTGAGATGTGGCCCAAGATGCAGGACCTTGGGCACCAGAGATGGCACTTGCTTGGTTGGGGCCCTGGAGTCAGTGATAAATCCAGGGGGCATTCGGGGCCCTCACTGCCTGGCCCTGGGGGCGGCCTGTGGGCCACAGGGCACAGGAGAGAATGTAGGAGGCGACCCTGGGAGCCCAGCCCTACCCTCAGGACTCTGTCTTCTCTGCAGGCTGCTGGCCACAGGGCTGCTGCACAGGCTTGGCCCGCAGGACCATTGCTGGCTTGGCCTGGCGACACTGGTGGCTGCAGACTGTCCAGCCTGGGACAGCCCCTCTTTGGTGAGTGTCGAGCTCCCTGGGAGCTGCCCAGCCTGCTCTCGGGCCGGCAGCTGAGCTTGCCTCTCAGGGATACCTGCAAGGTGCTCCAGCTGTCCTGGCCACACCCTGCCCTTTCCGCTTTCCACGATCCCTCCCCATCCCTCGTGTGCACGTGGATGGGCTGAGGCCAGAGCCAGGTCCCACCTGTCTCCCAGGCCAAGATGGGCTTTGCGGGAAGCTCACCCTGTGGCAGTGTGACCGTAAACCCTGGTGCCTGGGAAGGGAGGCTGCTCTGAGCCAGCTGCCTCTCGGACATTCCGGGAGCCTGGAGCCCACATCTGGAAGTAGCTGGTCACCCATGTCCACAAGCTGAGGGCAGCTCACTGTTCCTGGCCCAGTTGGCCTGGATACAATGTTGCGGGCCCTTCTGCCAGGGGCTGGGCTCAGAAGGAGACACCTGCTGTGACAGAGAAAAGAGAACTGGGCCCAGGAGATGGCACGGGGTGGCAGGAGGTGGCAGGGTGTGGCCTGAGGCTCCCCTAAGGGTCAGAGCTGGGTGGGGGGAGTTAAGCTCTTGCCCAGCGGGGCCCCGTAAGGAACTTGGGGGCTTGTGACAGGAGGCCTCTGCCTCCATCTATAGGTTAGATCTTCAGGTACAGTTTGTGCAGCTCCCTGAAGTTCCCAGGAGCCCCCCGGAGAATGGCAAAGTCTAGTGTTGAAGTGGCTTGGGGTTCAGGGGTGTGTGACGAGCCCTGGGCAGAGGCTGGATGTTTCCCTGGGCCCCCATGCCGTGGGAGGTGCCTGACCATGGGCCACCTTTGCCCACAGACCTCGAGCCGTGCAGAAGCAGCCCCATGAAGGTGGCCAGCCATGCAATGCTCCTGGAAGGCTGTGCTCCTCCTGGCCCTGGCCTCCATCGCTATCCAGTACACGGCCATCCGCACTTTCACCGCCAAGTCCTTCCACACCTGCCCTGGGCTGGCCGAGGCCGGGCTGGCCGAGCGGCCGTGCGAGGAGGGGCCCACCTTCGCCTATAACCTCTCTCGGAAGACCCACGTCCTCATCCTGGCCACCACTCGAAGTGGCTCGTCCTTCGTGGGCCAGCTCTTCAACCAGCACCTGGACGTCTTCTACCTGTTCGAGCCCCTCTACCACGTCCAGAACACGCTCATCCCCCGCTTCACCCAGGGCAAGAGCCCGGCCGACCGGCGGGTCATGCTGGGTGCCAGCCGTGACCTGCTGCGGAGCCTCTATGACTGCGACCTCTACTTCCTGGAGAACTACATCAAGCCGCCTCCAGTCAACCACACCACCGACAGGATCTTCCGCCGAGGGGCCAGCAGGGTCCTCTGCTCCCGGCCGGTGTGTGACCCCCCGGGGAGCCCCGACCTGGTCCTGGAAGAGGGGGACTGCGTGCGGAAGTGTGGGCTGCTGAACCTGACCGTGGCCGCCGAGGCCTGCCGCGAGCGCAGCCATGTGGCCATCAAGACGGTGCGGGTGCCAGAGGTGAACGACTTGCGGGCTCTGGTCGAAGACCCCCGCTTGAACCTCAAGGTCATCCAGCTGGTCCGAGACCCCCGGGGCATTCTGGCCTCCCGAAGCGAGACCTTCCGTGACACGTACCGGCTGTGGCGGCTCTGGTACGGCACGGGGAGGAAGCCGTACAACCTGGACGTGACGCAGCTGACCACGGTGTGCGAGGACTTCTCCAACTCCGTGTCCACGGGCCTCATGCGGCCCTCGTGGCTCAAGGGCAAGTACATGCTGGTGCGCTACGAGGACCTGGCCAGGAACCCCATGAAGAAGACCGAGGAGATCTACGGCTTCCTGGGGATCCCCCTGGACGGCCATGTGGCCCGCTGGATCCAGAACAACACTCGGGCCGACCCCACCCTGGCCAAGCACAAGTACGGCACCGTGCGGAACTCGGCTGCCACAGCTGAGAAGTGGCGCTTCCGCCTCTCCTACGACATCGTGGCCTTCGCCCAGAGCACCTGTCAGCAGGTGCTGGCCCAGCTGGGGTACAAGATAGCCGGGTCGGAAGAGGAGCTGAAGAACCCCTCCATCAGTCTGGTGGAGGAGCGGGACTTCCGGCCCTTCTCGTGAGGCGGGCGTGCGGGGGGTGGGGCGCCAGGGGTCGGACCATTTCTAACTGTTGCCTTATTTCCCCGCCCGCGCCCGCCCGCCCGTCTGTCTCGCCCGGCCTATCTTTGTGTCCTCCCTGCCCTCTGCCCGCCCTACTCCCTGCTGCCTCTTTTTGTCTCTGAAATTTGCACTACCATCGTAGGGGAATCCCTGGGGCAGAGGGCGGGAGAAGTGGGGGACGCCCCGCACCCCATGCAGACACACGGATGTTGGGTCTCTAGGTGGACCGTGATGATGTTTACAAGCACCCCACTCACACATGCACACAACGCACATGGGGACCGGTGGGGAGAGGCACCCCGACCCCCAGCCTCCAAGCTTTTGGAATGGATGAGTGTGGGGTGGGGGTTGGGGTTTTGCACTGTCTTACTTCTGCAAAGTAAGGGGATGGAAACGAAGGACCACCTCTGGCTGACGTAGGAAAGGGGTCTCTCCCTCCCCCCTCCCTGCTCCCCGCCCCTGGCACCCACCTTCTCCCTTAGAGTAGAGATTCTGCTCCCTCCTGCCGCCCTTGCCTGTCGGGGAGCAGGTTCTAACTGTGAGGTGAACGTGGGCCTTGTTGATCTTCTCCAGTCTGTGGTGATGCTGACTGTCTGTCTGTCTGTCCGTCTTAGTCTTGTGGCTGCCCCTGGACCGGCAATAACGGGTGAGTCTTCTTACTATGAATTTCTGGTTGATTTTGGGGTCCATCTGTGAAATTTCTTTGTGCCAAAAAGAAAAAAAAAAGAGAGTGGATCAGTTTGCTAAATGAACATTGAAATGCTTTATCTGTGTTTTCTGTAAATAAAAGTGTGCAATACTATCTGCGTGTGGTCGTGGACTGTTCTGAGCGGCCCAGAGCTGACCTGGGCAAGATCTGGTGTTCCTGGGAGAAGAGTGAGCCAGAGGCAGAGGTGGGAATTAAAGCGATGCCTTTCAGGAAGCTGGTCCCCCTCGGCACCAGCACCGGCACCAGGCTGGGGCTTCTTTTCCTTTCTGTCCTTGAGATGAGGTACCTTGTAGCGAGGGGAGGCAAAGGATGTTTAACAAGTGGTGTGGTGGAAGTGAGGATGAGGCCCAGGCTTCCTTTTTTCCTGCGAAACACGTTCCCCTTTAGTTGCTGGTCTGGGGCCGTGGTGGCTGGGGAAGGGACTCTTCGGAGGGAGGGTGGCTCAGCGCAGTAGCTGCTTAGCGACTGGCCTGGGAGTATTTTAACGATGGGTACAGGTTTATTGGCGTCTACTCAGGCAGAGGCTCTGCCATGTTTACTTCCCTCCCATCCTTGGCAGTCCAGCAGGTTCCTCCAAGCAGCTTCCCCAGCTCTTTTTTGCAAGAAAGCAGCTGGTCCCCAGGGGTGGCTGGAGGTCACAGCTTTGCTGGCCGGGACAATGGGAGGGCCTGGTGACTGGACGGCCAGTCGGAAGGAGGGCTTCCTGAGGATACTGGCCCTGGGCTGTATTGTAAGAGCCAGAAGGATGTAGATTCAGGAACCAGAGCCAATGCCTTAATTAATAGAAGCCCAATCAAGAGAGGCCATTTTCTTTTGGTTTTTCAAAAAAAATTTTTATTGAAGTGAAATAGACATAACAAAAACGTCCATCTTAATTAACCATGTGTAAGTACACACTTCATTAAACACATTCACGACATTTGCAACAGTCACCACCATCCATCTCCATACTCTTTTCATAACGTGAAACTGAAGTGCACACCCATTATACAGTGACTCCCCATCGCCCTCTCCCCTGCTCCTGGCAACCATTCCACTTTCTGTCTCTCTGACTTTGACTACTCTGAGGACTTTGTATGAGTGGAATCTTACAGTGTTTGTCTTTTTTGTAACTAGCTTATTTCACTTAGCATGATGTCATTAAAGTTCATCCATATTATAATGTGTCAGGATTTCCTTCCTTTTCAAGGGTGAATAGTATTCTAATGATATGCCACATTTTGCTTATTCACCCCTCAATGGACGCTTGTTGCATCTGTATTTTAGCTATCTGATTATGCTTCTGTGAACATGAGTGTATAAATATCTCTTTAAGATCCCACCTTTAACTGGGTGTGGTGGTACATGCCTGTAATCCTAGCAGTCTGGGAGGCTGAGACAGGAAGATCCCAAGTTCAAGTCCATCCTAGGCAACTTAGTGAGATCTTCTTTCAAAATATAAAATAAAAAAGAGCTGGTAATGTAGCTCAGTGCAAAGATCCTGGGTTTACTCTCCAGTATTGAAAAAAAAAATCCTGCTTTCAATTCTTTGGCATATATATCCAGAAGTAGAATGACAAATTCCATTTTGAGAAGTACCATACTCTACTGTATTGGTCACAAAACACCTGACACACACGACTTAGAAGAGGAAATGGTTTATTTTGGCTTATGATTGCAGGGGTTTCAGTACATGGTTCAAGGCTCCCAGGCAGAAACGTCATGGTGGGGGGCATAGTGGAGCAAAGCTGCTCAACTTATGGCATCTGGGAAGTAGAGAAGGGGGAGATCCTGAGAGGAAGGGGCAAGGGACCAGATACAGTCCCCAAGGTCATACCCTTCCCATGATCCACCCCTACATACTCAGAAATGTGCTTCACTAATATCCTAGACATTTTTCAATGCAGTCAAGTAGACATCTAGATTGGTGATCACATGTACCATTTTACATTCCCACCAACAGTGCATAAGGACTCCAGTTTCTCCAGATCTTTGTCAATACATTCTCTCTCTCTGTCTCTTTCTCTCTCTTCCTTTTTGATAGCCATCTTAATGAGCATAAAGGTGTAAATGAGGCCACTTTCATTCTCAATAGACATGAGGTGTTCAGGTGTGTTATGGTGGCTCCCAGACATCAGGAGCCCTGGTTGTTTTCCATGTTGTTGCTGCTCCATCTTCCTAAGGTGTCCTTGGATATATGGCCCAAGATAGGTTGAAGACAATGGAAAGGAGAGAAGTTGGAAAGGCAGTATCCTGCCACATGTAAACACAACTCCAAAGTTATAGACTTCACTTCTACTCGTGTTTTATTGGCTAAAACCTGGTCACATGGCCACACTTAACTGCAAGGGCGTCTGGGGGAATGTAGTCTTTTATCTGTGTGGCCATGACTGCTATGGTGGCTGATGAGGCCAAAGCTGACATCTCTGAGATTCCAGTTTCTCTTATGCAAAAGGGAGACAGAAGCTTTTCTCCACCCCTGGCTCATGGGAGTTGCTTTTCCAGCCTGTGGTGAGGAAGGCATCCAATCAGTTGGTTTCATGGCATCTGTGTCCATGAAGGGTTCACCCAGTGCCCCTGGCCAGCTGTTCTATTGCCTGAGGAACATCTGCTCTAGCAGAGGCTACAGTTGGCTGCTCCTGTTCCTGATATACTGAATGATGTGGCACTTGTCTCTTCAGGTACTTCCCTCTCTTCATTTTCTAACCACCCTGCTTGGATTGTCCCGAGCCACAGATCTCTCTCCTCAGTATAGGTGGCTTCATGTTGGAACTGGGAGACAATGGCGATGATGGCCTAGGTGGAAAGAACCTTTTCTCTCAACTGCAGAAGACTTTTATAAGGCTGGCAGGGGCTTTCAGAAGAAATCTCTGCATGGTGATAGACTCATCCATTTATTAGTTTATTCATTCAAGGATTTCTGACTCTTTCTGGGCAGATGCTGGGGTCATGGGGACTTCAAGGAACAGTCTAGTAGAGGCAAGCAGGCAAAATGATGACCACAGCATGGGCAATCCAAGGGAGTGGTCTTGGAAATCACAAGGCTACTAGAAGGAGCCACAGGCTTGTTCCCTAGGCCACAAGGTCTCATTCTATGTGTTTCTGTCTTGGGGCTTAGAGAAGTCAAGTGGTTCCTTCATTACACCAGGACAGATTTTTGCAGTGACGGCCCTCAGTTTGCTCCTGCCTCCCTGTGAGGATACTGTTATGGTTTCTATCTGAATGTTCCCCCAAAGCCTCATGTGCTCAAAGGTGATTGGGTTATGGGGACATTATGGCTAGATGTGATGTTAGGAGGTGTGGCCTGGTTGGAAGAGGTGGACCAGTGAGGTCGTGACTTGGGAAGGTCTATCTCCCTTCCTGGTTCCTCCCTTCATGCTCTCTGCTTCCTGTCCACCATGCTTGGAGCAGCTCTCTTACTCCATGCTGCCCTGCTTTGGAGCCAGCTGACTATGAAACCTCTACATACTATTAGCCAGAACAAATCTTTCTTTCCTTAAGATGCAGGTGTTGAGTATTTCATCCCAGCAATGAGGGAAGTAACTAAGACACACACCACAGGCTGGGTCCTCTCACTGACTGTGGGCTTAGCCTCTCACTGACTGTGACTCTTGCTTTAGGGTCAGTGGATTAAGAGCAAGTAAAGGGTGTGAAACACACAGCCCCTTGGAAGCTTCCAACTCCATATGGAGGAAGCCCAGGGTAGCTTGCTAATAAAGAACCAAGGAGCCCCAGCCAATGGTTGGCCACCAGCCTGGTTAAGCCCAACCAAATTTCTGACCTTCAACATGGTGGTTAAAAACATGGCTGTTGCTGAGTGTGGTGGCACTCATCTATAATCTCAGCTACATGGGAGACTGAGGCAGGAGGATCCCAAGTTCAAGGCCAGCCTGGACAACTTAGTGTCTCAAAAGTAAAGCAAAACAAATAAAATAAAAAGTTCTGGGAGTGCAGCTAAGTGATAGAGCACTTGCCTACCATGTGTGAGGCCCTGTGTTGGATCCCCAGTACCAAAAAAAACCCATTTGTTTTAAGCCATGAAATTTTGCAGTAACTTCTTACACAGCAGAGTCTCGCCTACACACACCATGTTCTGTCTTGCAGCAGGTCTTTTTACAGAGGGTTCCTTGTCCCTGGGTTGTTCCTATTCCCCTCTTTAGTTAATAAATCGAGTCTTTGAATCTCAGTCTCATTATCAACACTTCCTTGGTTTTCCCAGATTAGTTCAGCTACCCTAATAATAGGCTCTTCCATAGCTGATTATATGTCTTATATATCCCTTTTATGGGCCCTTCTGATGCTGTGCGGACCACCTTTATTGTGTTTACCACAGTGTAATCACACTTTTTATGACAGGACCTGGCACAGGATGGGTGTCCAATCAACATTGGTTGACTGTGTGCAAGAACAAGAAAGCAAGTGTCCGCATCGGATGGAAGGTCTCACTTGTCCTGGCCTCCATGGGCAGCAGCAGGGCCTCTGACACACCCGGAGGAGACTGAAGCAGCTAAGGCCCTTGCAGGCTTTCTGGTATGTATGTTACAGGAAGCTGGCCTGAGTCTTGTTCCAAGAACACACACCGTCCTCTGAGGTCTAGCTCACATGCCAACACTGGTGCTCCTGTTTCTTTGTCATGAGGCGTTGGTCACTTGCCTTGCCACTTGTCACAGTCTGCAAGGCTGACACTCTGCAGGAGAATGTCGGGGAAGAAACATGTGCCTGAGTCTTACAGCTTATAAAGCATATGTCCCTTCTGTTGGTCATCCTCTCCTGTGCTGCTTCCTGCTGCCCTGGAGGCCCCTCTTTCTAGCTGGGGAACGCAGGCCACAGCGTCATGTAGACAGGAGTGAAGGAGGGACTTCCTGGTCTTGTCCCCAGACACTGGGCTGCTCTCAGCCATGCTCCGAGGCCGTGTCCTGTCTTTTCTTTGCATCACAGACTTCCTCTGTTTGTGTGTTCCCACCTGCTCACCCTGTTCCTCTCCTTGCCAGCAGCAGCCCGTGGCCTCGCAGCCCCACTTCTCTGGGATCCGGAGAGCTCTTGGGGCCCACTTCCTTCCATCGTGGAGGGCATTGTCCGGAGCAAACCGGGCCTTCCTGCTCATCTCGTCTGCA